TACCAACAAAGATGTTGTGTCCGCCGAGAACTAAAAAAAATAAATATTAAAAAATTCTCTCTCTCTCCTCTCTCACTCTCTCTTTAAAAAAAAAAAAAAGAAAAAAAGAAACAAAAGAAATTTGTATTCAGAGAGGTCCAGTCTCCTCTTGTTGGTAATCAGTGTCTGAAGGAAAAAAATCACAACCTGGATGAAAATATAAGCTCATAAATATGCAAGTTACAATATGCATTCCCCCTTTATTTTGGCTCTGGGGATTGAACCCAGGGGTGCTTTACACACTAAGCCACATCTCCAGTCCTTTTTATTTTTTGAGTCTTGCTAAATTGCTAAGCCTGGTCTGGAACTTGTGATCTTCCCGTTTCAGCCTCTTGAGTTGCTGGGATTTATTTATAGATGTGCACCACCACATCCAGCTACATCTCCTTTTTAACCTCTCCCCCACCCTTTTTGGAACTGGGGATCAAACCCAGGACTTTGCCACTGAACTATATCCCAGCCCAAAATCCCCTTATTTTTGACATGCGTAGAGGTGCACACCTGTAATCCCAGGGGCTCTAGAGGCTGAGACAAAAGGATCCCAAGTTCAAGGACAGCCTCAGCAATTAGTGAAGCCCCTAAGCAACTTAGTGAGAGCCTCTCAAAATAAAAAACAAAAAGGGCTGGGGATGTAGCACAGTGGTAAAGCAACGTTGGGTTAAAGCTCCTGTACCAAAAGTAAACAAAAGACAAAATCCCCTTATTTTGGGGGCTGGGCGTTGAACCTAGAAGCTCCCATGTGCTAGGGAAGTGCTCTACCACTGAGCTACACACCCATGGTTGCTCTTTTCCTTTAAAAACAGATTCGATTCCAGGGTAAACGAGATTTGTGGGTTTGGGAGCCTACAAAAACCAGATGTGTTTTGGTTCCTTAAATAGATGTGTTGATGTATGATCACTTATTTAGTCAGGTAAGAGTTTAAAGTATCCAGATTTCATATTCCATGCTTATTTATTTTGAAGGACTATTTTTCTGTAGTTCACTGATTATCCTGGTACTTCCCAGTGATTCTTTGATAAAGAATGTCATGTGATTGGTCTTCCTGGCACTAATGTGTAATTCATTAATAAATGTGCATACTTTTACCACCATAGGCTTTCCATGGGCAAACCCAGCCTTTTAAAATTATTGTTTTTAAATGTACCACTTTGCTTTAAGTCTAGCGCTGAGGTATCCAAACTTGCTATACATTTAAAGAAAACTTTCTTTTACAGTTAAGTGTTAAAACTTGGCATTTCCAATATATTACATATTTTCATTTAAACCTAGCACTTTTTTTTTTTTTTTGGTACTGGAGATTTAATTCAGGAGTTCTTAACCATTGAGTGACATCATCAGCCTCCCCCCTTTTTTTGAGACAGGGTCTTGCTAAGTTGCTTAGGACCTCCCCTAAATTGCTGAGACTGGCTTTGAACTTGTGATCCTCCTGTCTCAGCCTCCACAATCGCTGGGATTACAGACATGTGCCACCATACTTGGCTAAACCTAGCACTTTCTAGAGGGGCTAATAATAATTTCATATAAACTGCAGATACAAATCTTAAACAGATTTCGCATAAAAAATTAAGTGAGCTGGGCATGGTGGCACATGCATATAATCCCAGTGACTCAGAAGGCTGAGGCAGGAGGGTCTAAATTTCAAGGCAACTTCATCAGACCCTATATCAAAATAAAAAAATAAAAAGGGCTAGGGATGTATTTTATTCTGAAGTGCTCTCTAGGATCAATCCCCAGTGCAAAAAAAGAATTAGTGAAAACAAATGTCAAATAAGAATTCTGGGGGTAAAAAAATAGAAGCAAATATTTAAAAGCAAATGGCTGGGAATTTTCTCAAATTAAAAACAGACAAGGAACTTCAGATTCAAGTTTGTTCTGAATAACAAACAGGATAAATAATAAGCCCAGAATAATAAACCTATAGAACGTTAAGGATAAAACTCCTAATAGCTAACAGATAAGATTATCAGTTATCTTCTTTTCAGGAATAGAAGGGCCCACAAGACAATGAAGCAATATGTTGACAATATCCAAGAAAAAACAACTTTCAATCTGGAATTTGAAACCTAGCTATCCTTGTATAGTGAGCACCAAAAATTCAGTGTATAATTTCACAGACACCAACTTAGGAGATTTAAAACTCTCTAGCAATAATTTTCCAGTGATTTAATGTGGATACACAACATAGCCCTGCTCAGTGATTGGCAAGTTGTTTCCTATCATTTAAAATAACCAGTCACTGTTTGTAAGCTCTTTCAATTAACTTTATTGAATAGTCAAATTGATAAGTTAGCACAGATCAAACGATTGCTTGCATGGGTTACAAATGACTTTTTCTTTTTTCTTTTTTTTTACAGGAATAAAACAGTGAAAATTACAAACTGTAAAAAGGAAGACAAATCTTGTCTCTAACATTTTAGAGAAGCAAGATGTAACACAGCACATTGAAGATCAATACATATTTGAATTGAGAACAAGAATTGAATGTTACAATATTATACACTACTTTACAAAATTAAAATTTCTATATAAGGATTAGATTTGTAATAGCTAACAAAATCTCAAAATCACATTTGGTGGTCCCCTAGATAATAGCTGTTATGCATCTTTGATTAGAAGAAATAAATCTTTTATTCTAATTATTGCAAAACAGTCTATTAGACTCAATACATTAAATTAAAAACAATGAAGACATATGCAAACTAAAATAAATGGTACTGCTTGAGTGAATATTAGTATGTCGGACTTACAGAAATGTTATTTTAAAAATTCTAGAAATTAGAAAAATAGAGTACTTTTTATGGTAGAACTGTCATGCTCAGATTTATATACCAAGATTGCCCTTGTCTGTTACTTTAGTAGTTGTAGATCTGTAGAAAATTCAAGGATCTTTCATAATTTACAACTACAATAAAAAAAATATGGTATAGTGTAAATATTAGTTGCTTTACATCAAAAAGTAATACAAGATGATAATGGCAGATAGTGCCTTACTGCAAAGAAAAAAAAAACTAACTAAAAAACACATTCATATTGCAAAAAAATAATTGTTTTATATATCAATATTCCCAAAAGTTTCATTCATTCTCTTATTACCTGGAGGACAAATATTGTGAATCCTAACTAAAGTTATGTGTTTTTTTATGACCTGTTATAAAATTATTCTGAATTGCATGTTACACAATATTTAAAATAATTTTTCAAAGTAAATTCTTGAAATACACTAACAAAGTATGTGGTAATAACACGAGTCATATCCACTTAGGGATGTAGTGAGGCACAAGGAAGATTATCCCTAAAAGCACAAATGTTTCCTTCTGGAAGATTTTTCATTACTATTCAGAAAGAACTTATAAATGTCAAAGTTTAAAATTACATTAAATGAATAATTCATTTAATTTCTTACTTAAAATGTAAAAAAATTAGTTCTTTTAAGAAACATCAGTGTGTAATGACTTAAAAGAGGTTTCTTAAAAAGATGGGAAAATATAAATTTAATTTGCTGTAATTTAAAAGTTGCTTCCTAACAAAAGAAAGAGCTTTCAAGAAACCTTCCAATTCAATGTACCACTTGCACACTGAAAATGAATCTTTTTTTTTTTTTTTTTGAGGGAGGCGGGGTGTGGAGGGGCAGGACCAGGGATTGAACTCAGGGACACTCAGCCACTGGGCTAGCTTTTGCTTAGGCTGGCTTTGAATTCAAGATCCTCCTGCCTCAGCCTCCTAAACTGCTGGGATTACAGGCATGCACCACCGCACCCAGCTTGAAAACGAATCTTAACACTGCTTAAAGAGATGGTATTTTCATAAACACAATTATTCTAATCCAGCTGGCAAGTAGTAGTTGTGTACTCTAGAGGGATTTGCTTCTTCCCCACACCAAACAATTCAGTTAAGTCAGCCCACATGGATGTAAACCTGAAAGTTACTATTCATTGGTGATCATGTAAGACCAAGATTGTAAACACATTTTGTAACCTATTAAAACAAAAAACCAAAAATCTTTTCATCAAGTATTATACATGTACATTATCTTTTTAAGAAGTTCATACGAGACAAGATGAATCGGTGAAAACTGAACCAAACTTTTAAAGATATTAATTATATCACAGCACTGTAAATACACAGATGTAATTTACCTGTTTGTAAACAAAATCTGCTCAGTAATTTTTGATTATATTCTCTAGCTGAATCAAAAAAGCAGTCTTTTGAGCATGTTCAGCAACCAAGTTTCTTTTATAACTTCAATATATTGGATTTGTGTAACCTTAATATTCACCAAACAGCAGCATTCATGCTTTAATAGGTTTTAATATCTCAGAATAATAATATCCCAATTTAATTATCAAACTTCTTAGAAAAATGTTACTGATGCATTTGACATAACATTTTAGAAACCTTTAACTTCTTTCATTCATCCTCATTTCACCAAAAAAGCACTTTTATTATATATCACGGAGCAGAAATGTACCAAATAAAAGCACACCTAAAGGATCAAGATAACTAAATTTCTCATTTCCCTATTATCATTGCCAGTCCCAATATTTATGAAGACAGCTCAAATTCTTTTCATTGCAAAGAAAACAGTATGTCCAAGTCATCTGCAGCCAAATCAGAGAACCACCTAATTACATCTTTCACTTCAAATCAAAGTGATTTTGTTCTTCAAGTATAGAGAATACTGACAGATTTTAAAGCTTGAAAGTGTTACTTCATATTCTTCTCAAGCTACACTACAGTTAGTTTGCCTGTTTAATTTAACATGATGATACTTTTCCTTTCTTTAAAAATAAAACAAAACAGTATGGGGTATAGAATTCTAGCTCTTCTACATTTTATTTACTTTTGGATTTCCCAATTGTAAAAAGATCATTATTAATGGATTCATAACTTCCCTCCAACACTTAGTCTCATGAGGTTTTAAATGTAGCAGCCAAAAACTCAGAAAAATAAAAAATATACATGTGGAACACAGAAGTCTTTATTTTACAAAATGTACTTTACCTCTATAATATCTTTTCCTTATTTCAATCTGTAACAACTTGAACATAATTGGCAGCAAAGGAAAAAAGGTATCCAATCATATGTAGATATATTTTGATTTGAAAAATACAGTATTTTCAGAGTTTTATGTTTGAGTCTTTGCTGTAGTCCTTTATTTGCTATAGTTTGTTGAAATCACAGTGAAAACATCTTAATCATCACATTAGTTCACAAATTTAAATAGAAAAGGAAGGTATTACACATTCCCAGGAATTCTGCTTTGTGATTTCCTTAGCAATAACTAAGTCAAATTTCTTCATTTGTTCATTTATTTACTTGTTGCTGAATATGCAAGAGGAATTCATAATATGATAACGCAGATTCTGTTCTGTCTTCTACCATGTTTTGAAGGAAGTTTGCTTTCATTGGACTTTCATCCCTTAGAAATAAAAGGCAAAAATATTTTTATATAGTAGATAAAATATAATAGTAAAACAAACAGTGGATTTCTCATAGTTTTTGACTAACTATGATAGCTATTATAATATTTGGCACAGAAACAGTGACTCTGCTTGCCTCACATGCACAAGGTCTGGGTTCTAATCCCCAGCACCACAAAMAAACAAAGCCACATCTCTAGCCCTTTTTTTATATTTTAGAGATGGGGTCTCCCTAAATTGCTTAGGGCCTTCCTAAATTGCTGAGGCTGGGTTTGAATTCCCAATCCTTCTGTTTCAGCCTCCTGAGCTGCTGGGATTACAGGTGTGCACCACCATGCCCAGCTACAGACTTGTTCTTAAGAATATTTGGTTGATTATGTAAACTTTATTTTTAAAAAATTCTTATTAGTTATTGATGGAMCTTTATTCATTTATTTGTTTATACGTGGTGTTAAGAATCGAACCCAGTGCCTCACTCATGCTAGGCAAGCGCACTACCACTGAGCCACAACCCTAGCCCAAACTTTATGTTATTTAGGGGGGAAAGTTTATAGTGGAATTAGGTGAAACAGTCTAGCTTTTTAATAACAAGCTCATTATAAGTCTAGTAATTATAATCTGGTCATAAAATACAATTTGGTACCATTTATTGAAAAGATATTTTAAATCCATATTCTTTTCCTTTTAATTTTATTTTTTAATTATAATTTGTTATATATGGCAGGAGAATGCATTACAATTCATATTACACATATAGAGCACAATTTTTCATATCTCTGGTTGTAYACAAAGTATAATCATACCATTCATGTCTTCATACATGTAATGATGTCCATCTCATGCCACCATCTTTTTTATATCTTTTGCCCTCTCCCTTCCCCTCCCACCCCTTTGCCCTCTCTAGAGTTCATCTAATCTTCCCATGCTTCCCCTCCTAACCCCACTATGAGTCTGCCTCCTTATATCAGAGAAAACACTCACACGTGCTAGGCAAGTGCACTACCGGCATACTACTACTCGACACTTGTTTTTTTGGGACTGGTTAACTTCACTTAGCATTATATTCTCCAACTCCATCCATTTACTTGCAAATGCCATAATTTTATTCTCTTTTACTGCGGAGTAATATTCCATTGTGTACATATACCACATTTTCTTTATTCATTCATCTACTGAAGGGCATCTAGGCTGGATCCACAGTTTAGCTACTGTGAACTGTGCTCCTATAAACATTGATGTGGCTGTATCCCTGTAGTATGCTGTTTTTAAGTCGTCTGGGTATAGACCAAGGATTGGGATATTTGGGTCAAATGGTGGTTCCATTCCAAGTTTTCCAAGAAATCTCCATACTGCTTTCCATATTGGCTGCACCATTTTCAGTCCCACCAGCAATGTATGAGCATGCCTTTTTCCCCACATTCTCACCAATACTTACTGTTGTTTGTATTCTTAATAGCGGCCATTCTGACTGGAGTGAGATGAAATCTTAGAGTAGTTTTGATTTGCATTTCTCTAATAGCTAGACATGTTAAACCTTTTTTCATATACTTGTTGATTGATTATATATCACCTTCTGAGAAGTGTCTGTTCAGCTCCTTGGCCCATTTATTGACTGGGTTATTTGTTATTTTGGTGTTTAGCTTTTTGAGTTCTTTATATACCCTGGAGATTAGCGCCCTATCTGATGGGCAAGTGGTACATATTTGCTCCCAGGCTCTCTATTTACCTCCCTGATTGTTTCTTTTGCTGAGAAGAAGTTTTTAGTTTGAATCCATCCCATTTATTAATTCTTTTTTTTAAAATTTTAATATTTATTTTTTAGTTCTCAGCGGACACAACATCTTCGTTTGTATGTGGTGCTGAGGATCGAACCCGGGCCGCACGCATGCCAGGCGAGTGCGCTACCGCTTGAGCCACATCCCCAGCCCTCCCATTTATTAATTCTTGATTTTAATTTTTGCACTATGGGAGTCTTATTAAGGAAGTAGGGGCCTAATCTGATATGATGGAAATTGGGGCCTACTTTTTCTTCTGTTAGACACAGGGTCTCTGGTTTAATTCCTAAGTCCTCAATCCACTTTAATGCATGGTGAGAGATAGGGGTTTAATTTCATTTTGTTGCATATGAATTTCCAGTTTTCCCAGCACCATTTGTTAAAGAGGCTATCTTTTCTCTAATGCATGTTTTTGGCACCTTTGTCTAATATAAGATAACTGTAATTATGTGGGTTAGTCTCTGTGTCCTCTATTCTGTACCACTGGTCTACTAGTCTATTTTGGTGCCAATACCATGCTGTTTTTGTTACTATTGCTYTGTAGTATAGTTTACGGTCTGGTATAGTGATGCTACCTGCTTCACTCTTCYTGCTAAGGATTGCTTTAGCTATTCTGGGTCTCTTATTTTTCCACGATTTTCATGACTGCTTTTTCTATTTCTGTGAGAAATGTTGTGGGAGTAACTTTCAGTTTGCAACTCACAACTACAAGCAGCTCCAAGTGCTAGGAAAACTGATGCTCCTACAAGCCTGACAGGAACACCTGCAGGATGAGGCGCTCTGCTCTAGCGAGCCTCTGAGAAACCACATCCTCAGAGATTGAGGTCAGAGTTGCCAGGGAACAGAGAGAAGAGACAAGGGCCTCAGGGCATGATTCTTCCCCYAACTCATAACACCCCCTTTTCATAGGGACAATGATCCTACCAGTCTGCTTTCCACCGTGTAGCAATATTTAGAGCTTCCTCATAGTGCAGTTACATTAATCATAAGATGATTGGTTTCTAAATGTTATATAACCTGTTTGCCTATGTATGACTGGAGGATGCGCCCATCAATTGTAATCACTTCCGCATTAAACAAGCTTGCTGGAGGTCGGCTGAGGTCTGCCACCTACCTGCTCTCACCAGCTCCTATGTCTGTGTTTTGACTCCGTGTCCCCCACACCCACCGCAACTGAGGTAGCCGAGTGACCCACAGCAACATCTGGCACCCAATGTCTGCTCACACCGGTGTACCTCAGGGCTGGCCCCCAGTTGACCTCGGGTAGGGACCTGTTCCCTGTTCTATGTGCTGACGGTTCCTTGAAGGTGAACAAGGAACACCTTTTCCTTGCTCTTACCCTCTTAACCCCTTTCCTTGTCCTTGTCGAGCATTGGCTCCCGAGTTGAGGCACACACCACCATAAAGGTTGGCATCACCTTATAGCTCTTCCTTCCCCTTGGTTCACCCAGGAATTCACATAAGGGACTGATCCTCCCAGAATTTGGAACCTTGATTTTCTCTGTTAAAGAGAACTTCCCTCAGGAGACACCATATGGGCATATGGCCTTGACCTAACAAGTCAAGGAAGTCCCCCACTAATCACAAGACATTGGATCCTAAACACACTCTTGTTTGTCCTTTCTAGGGACTTCCATGTCTGAACCATCCCCTTGGGTTCCTGTTTTTGGTATCTTGATCCTTATAGGGGGTTATTAGTGTGGCTTCATTCATATTTGAGAGACTCCAGGAGGCCTCTACTAAGTCCACTAACCAGTCATGGGCAACATTCCCACCGTACCCCCCACAACTAGCAGTTCTGAAAGCACTGCTTTTCTCAGCACCTCCAAAAGACATCAATCACTTCTGGCAGGAAGCTGTCTATTTAGCACCCTGGATTGGCCCCGAAACCATAGGGATCCACAAATTTGAATGAAAGTCTTATACTCTGCAAGAAAAAAGGAGGCCCATGAGGGACACATTCCCCCTGCCTCTTTCATACCGATTCTTCTAGCCATCATTGCCAGCCTTCAAGGTTCTTTAGCAGAAGATATCATTCAAAAGCATAATGACTCTTTGGAGGACAAAACAATGACTCTCCAGGCCTCTGCCTCGAGTGTCATTGATTCAGATGAGGACAATGACTCAAGAGAGGATGACCCTGACTTTTCACAACGTCCTGCGGCAATCTCTGTTCCCTTGTCTGCCTCCCTGTATCCAAAATATTCATTGAAAGAATTACACTCCTGCTCCGAGGAGAGACACCATTTAAGGCCCTCAGCCCCTTATCAACCTCACTATTCCTCTCGTAACCCCTTTTCCGGTACCCAGTGAATCTCGGTTGCAATGCAGAAAATAGACCCTGGTACTTACTCTTTTACTAGATCTAACATTACTGAGAAAGGCTTCTCAGGAGTCTGAGCCTGGCTCTCCTTACTTTGAGGAGGTGTAATAGCAATGGTCAGCTCAATTGCAAACATCCTTTGATTGGATGAACCTCCTCAAGGAATGTTTAACTTGTCCACAATATATACAGTGGAAAAATCCCTTCGAAGAGGAGGCAGAACAAATAGCAAGAAGCAACCTCTCCTATGACATCGCCATCACCCTAGACATGTTGACTGGTCGCGTGCCTATATGAGTCCTCAAGAATAATCCAGAATTGGAAATGTCATTTACTTTAACCTGAARAGTCTTAAAAACATTACACTTCCAAAATATGAACTCTTCAGAAACTCGATCCAGAGTCCCCATTGAGTGGTTTCCCGACTTTTCGTCCCGACCTGGCCCTATTCAAGATTCGCTAGTCAAACAGTTGGTATGAGAAGGGGCTACAGCCGAAACTAGGGCTGCAATTGCCCCCGTCCGCAGTGAATCCCTCTCTAAGTGGATTTCTGCTACTAAAGAAGTATCCCCTTTCTAGGGGCCTATTCAGGCTTTAACAGCTGCTATCAACAAGCTACTAATAAAAAAGAACAATGGACCTTCCCAACCAAGATCTGATCCCATTTGCTGGGGCTGTAATCAGCCAGGCCGCATTAAATGGTACTGTCCCAAGAATGGCAGCCACCCTGGCCCCAAGACACCCAAAGGGTTATCACTGCGCAAAGGACTGCAAACTCTGGCCTTTAAACTCCCCTTGGGGCAACTCTCAGCCCCACCAGTAAGAGGGAACAGACTCCCCGCAAATTCGCTAGATGTTACCCATTTGGAACCAAACCCAGAATGACTATTATGCTTGACAG